AGATGTTGGAGCCACAACAATGTCAAATGAAAAAAGAGGAAGGGCGACGAGGACACCTCGACGCTTTTGTTTCAGGTACCGGAAGATCCCGTTCATGCTCATTCTCAGTCGTCAAACTCGGAAGTCAACAGGTACGATTTTTGGTAGCATCATTTGTGTTGGAGAAATTTTGGTTCTTGTTGAAGAGTTCGAATTTTTCGTTGTAGTCGGATTTATTTTTCCAAGTGGAGAAATCTTAGAGTTTCGTTCTTGTATCGAAATTTGCGTTAAGGTGGATATTGTTGGATTTTTTAACCCAAATTATGTTGGATTTTTTGAGAAAATATTTTTTCCTTTTTTGTACCTGTTTTTATTGAAAAAATATTGTTTCATTTATTCGACGTGTTTTTTATCTTGTTTCCATCTTTCTGATATTTTTAGGATTGACATCCACCTTTATAAACACTAAACTCTTTTCACAAATTTTATATCACTGAAATATAAAATAATTGTGTAGGCATAGTTATTGTATTTATTTTCTTTATATTAGTCAATTGAATAAAATACTTTGTTCATCTACCAATTAATTTTTTATCTTTTATCTTGCTGTTTGTTTTCGATCATATATTTCATATCGTATCATATATATTATCTTGATCCATCTTATTTCCCAACAAAAACGACACACTCACATTTAAAATGGGAAAAGTGTGTTTTTGTGCACCGATCATAATTTAACTCCAAGCATACTTGATTATATTTGAATATATTTAAAACAATTAAGAAGAGCTAAGAATGCTCGAATTTAATAAAATCTAAGTCAATTTCATAGCTAGTATAAGGATACTCAATTGCATGTCATTGCTGAACTCTAAGTAAAAACTTTAGATCGAGAACGATTTCTAAATGTAGCATGAATGTATCTTCATTAATTTTAGGCTCATACATGTAGACATAAATACAAACAGATGAGAAATTGATAAAATCGACATCGTGACTTTTATAATGGGTAATTGTCTTTTTGTGCATGGAGTTACGATTGTACCTTATACATTCTCGATTATCTTTGAAACATATAAACAATCAAAAAGATCTAAGATATTGGGTTTCTCTATCTTTTCTTATTTAAATTTTAGAATTTTTTCATAGATAACCTTGGATGTCTAGAGTGAAATCGAGATTCTATCCATAGAAGCAACAACAATTTTTAAATGATATCATGTCGTTTGCACCAATTTCACATCCTTTTGTCTTTATGTCCTCTCGTATAACCTTGGAACTAACGTAAATACGCTCATACTACATTAGGACATTGTTCTTGATCCAAAACTATTATTTAAAAGTCTATGCAAGTATCTATCACGGGGTCATATTCTGGAACAGTTACTCAGCCAAATTTTTGCCTATGGTGGTACAGTAAACAAGGGATGGATTTCACAAGATAAAGGCAGTAATGTAAAGGAACAAGAATATTTAGGGGTAAGCACCCAGCTCGTTTTATTACTCCACAATAATACAAGAAATCCAAAGGAATTACTAAAGGAACGCAACACACTCCGTGTCTCATCAGTTTGAACCTTCAAAAAATAAACAAAATTCATAGGCATCTAATACCCTTAACTGCTAAAGAGATCAACTAACCCATTATGGCCAAAACTGTCAGAAATTGTCTCCCACGCCATTTCCCAGCAACTGCTCATACTTTCCACATGTATGGCCACAAAAACAACCCAACATATATGACAAACATGTGCATGTCTTGAACATTTGAATTTGTGGACTAGAGTTCATTGAATAGTACTCTCGGTTCGACCCACACTTTGTAATTGAATTAAGAATCATCGGAAGGGTAATCAGTCATTTGAATTTATTAAAGCCAAGATTGTTAAAGAAAAGCGATGTAGTCGAGGATAACACATTTTATTATCAATGACATTTGTATATACCATTCTTCGAGGAATTAAGAAAGGAGCTCATAGAAGAAGCCCACAACACTCATTATTCAATACACCTAATAGGTACAACAATGTTCCATGACCTAAGAGTTGTATTTTGGTGGAGGAATATGAAGAACATAGATGAGTTTGTTGAGAAATGCCTAATATGTCGACAGGTGAAAGTCGAGCATCAACGACTATCAGGGTTAAAATGAATTGTTGAAGTCAATGATCCAATTGACACTAATTCAAGTTTAGTAACCCAATTAACATATTTCTGAAACCTCAGTGACCGCAGATGAAATTTACTCCATTTTAGCAACTGGCCATTACTTGAACAAGAAGACAAAGCGATTCTTAAGAACATCTCTCCCACGCATTCGCATTCGCATTCGCATTCGCACTCTCACGCATAAAAACACACAATTGCAGTGAATTATCTGAGATGGCGACGCCGATGGTAGATGATAGCAACTTCGAGGATGATCAGCTCTCTTCCATGTCCACGGACGACATTATTCGGGCATCCCGCCTCCTTGATAACGAAATCCGAATCCTCAAGGTTGTCTTCTTCTTCTTCTTCTTTTTTTTGGGAGTTAAGTTTATAGAAGTACGATTGTGGTTGATGATAAGTAAATATTTGATTTTATGATGTTGATTTGGTTGTTGTTTAATCGTTATTTTTAAATTATTATCATTTTGTTTCTATAGGAAGAATCGCAGAGAACGACTATGGAGTTAGATTCAATCAAGGAGAAGATAAAGGAAAATCAAGAGAAAATTAAGCTCAACAAGCAGCTTCCTTACTTGGTTGGGAACATTGTTGAGGTATGCAATGGATTGGCTTTTTACTTCTCTTAAAGGGTTACTAATTGGGAGTTTTACATTCTATTGTTTTGATTTGGGAAATATGAGAATTCACGTGAATTTGGCTAGATTTCGCTATATGTAGGGCATTTCTAGGATTCAAATGTGTCTACTGTTTTGTAGCTCTCAATGATTAGGGAAACTCATAGGAATTTAAGATTTCATTCGAGAAAGGAAAAATTTCTGTTGCTTATGGGGTTGACATGTAATGGTTCAATTCAAATTTAGCCCCCGTTTGGCCACCATTTTTTTCCATTACATTACATTAATTTTTTATCTCTCTTCATTTCATCCACACATTCTTCAAATAAAATAATGTTACACACAAATCTAAAATTTTTCATTACTTTTCTACCACACATTCTCCCATCAATCACTATTCCAAAAATTTTCAACTCCCCAAAATGGGGGCCAAACAGGGGTTTAAAAAGGTCGCTGCAGGGGCTTATAATGTGTGTGTGTGTGTGGGTGTGGGTGTGGGGGGGGGGGTGTCTTCTGTTGCAGAGGGGTCTGCATCACTGGCATGTATTAAAACACTACAGGCTCGTATGTATTTATTTTTAACTTTCTAGCCTTTGAACTGAATGGCAAGGAAGCATAACACAAAGCTCTGAATAAGTTGTGAGGAGATGATGGCCGACATTTTGATCATTTAAAGAAAATGAAAGCAGATTATTGTAGAATAATCTTTATTACCTGATGAATTAGATATAGTAGGACTATTTACTGAATTGTCTTGTATATTTTTCTGAACCTGAGACATTGCCAATGGTTTCGAATGATTTGTAGCAAAGGTTATGCCATCCTCTTCCTTGTAACTTATGATGCTTGAAACTTTAAATGTGACTCCCTCTCTCTTTGCTTCCCCCAAACAAACCTAAAATAAAATATGGTTATATAATACCAAAAGAAATCCTGGAAAAAGCAAAATAAAACTTTAGAAGGTTTTTTGATCACCTGTCTCCATGGTTGCTTATGTATTCGGGTGAGTAGAGGAATGCAAAAAATTCATTGGAGTTAGGGAGGGATTCATCTCTTTTAATATGTGTAATCAATTCACATGCTTAAGGGCGCTGTCAACATTCTCATGGCTGAGCACAAGTGAGTGGAATGCTACTCTATCTGGTTTTGGCACATTGAATGCTATTCTCATAATTATTTCCTGGTTTTGACTTACTTTGAATGTCAGTACTCTCTACCTCGTTCACCCTTTTCAGAGTTTCACACACCAAACTAACAAGAAGGGAAATAGTTCCAGGGGAAGAAGTTTGAAAGAAATCAGCTCTGAGTCAGAACAGTTCTGGATTTCTCTACAAAGATGTTAAGAGGTTCTTTGGATTGAAGTAGCAGTGACCTTCGCGTTTATGACCTAGTCTTTTTGGATTTGGGGATCCCCCCATTGACTGTGAGCGTGATTTTCCAAGTGCTATGGACATTTCAGAGCAGAGGGGACACAATAAGAAGACAAGAAAAAGAATGAGAGCATGAGGGAGAGGAAGATAGTTCATACTCCAACGTATTTTTTGGTGTCAACTGATTGTTTGTGTACCTTGAGTTTTTTTTGACTATTGGGACTTAGTTTAGTCATTTAAAATAAAAGGAAATCTATCGGTAATTAGATAACTGAAACTTTTAAAAAGTTCACTTATGGAGACAGGATTTTGCTTTGGGGGAAGCTATAGAGGATTTTTTTTTTTTAGGCATGATGAGGCTTACTTTAGCTATTTCTCCAAAAAAAATAATAATATGAGTTATTTCTCCAAATAATAATAATAAATAAATCAGGAAAAGAACATTATTTTTGTACTTGAGGGGAATTGAAACTCTTCTATCATTCATGTTCACATGCTTTTGGCCGACAAGAATGCTGTAGAAGTTGAATTGTAGTAAAATTACATGTGTACTGCTAATAGCACGTCACAATATTCTTCTAAAGTTTGCTTTGTATGTCTCTATTTAGTTTAGTTTAAGCTGGATACATGTTAGTTGTCTTGCTTCGAAGTTCTAGTAATGCACTTTATTTGATCCCCATGACAAGTTGGTTGGTGACTTTAACAGTGCTTGAATTTGGTAACTATTCAAGTATTGTTCATTTAATATTCTTATAATTTTGATTTGTAAAATTTTCAGATATTGGAAATGAACCCTGAGGATGAGGCTGAGGAAGATGGTGCAAATATTGATCTTGACTCACAAAGGAAGGGGAAATGTGTTGTGCTAAAGACATCTACTCGTCAGGTAAAACTAGCTTCTCTTCACATGGCTCTCTTTCTTTGTCTTTTCCAACCCTTCCTCAGTCTACTTTTTTTGTTCCCAAGATTCCTTTCCTTTATTTTATTTTTCTTTTGGTTTGTTTATCTTAAGAAAGCAGGCTATGGGGTTGTTTATTGTTTGAATGACATTCAGTTGTCTCATAAATGTATGAATATCTACTCCTGCTAAAACCTTAATACATCACTCATGTTCTGTGTTTGAGGCAACCCCGTACTCTTTTTTAACCTGTTCTTATGAGCTCCACAAGTCTCGTTGTATAATGTAAAACAACTAATCGTCTCGTTTCTATATTCATTGACGGCTGCAGACTATTTTCCTGCCTGTGGTGGGTCTTGTTGACCCTGATCAATTGAAGCCTGGTGACTTAGTCGGAGTAAACAAAGATAGTTACTTGATCTTGGATACTTTGCCTTCTGAGTATGATTCTCGAGTTAAGGCTATGGAGGTCGATGAGAAACCAACTGAAGACTATAATGACATTGGAGGCCTAGAGAAACAGGTAATTATCCTTTTGAATCATTTGATATTGAAAGGTCATACTCAATTTCTCATCATATTTTTTACTGTTATTTTGGATGTTTGTTCTTGAGATGTGACAGATTCAAGAACTAGTTGAGGCAATTGTGTTGCCTATGACACACAAAGAACGATTTCAAAAATTAGGAGTTCGTCCCCCGAAAGGTGTTCTTTTGTATGGGCCACCTGGAACTGGGAAAACTCTGATGGCCCGTGCATGTGCTGCCCAAACAAATGCTACTTTTCTTAAGCTGGCAGGTCCCCAGCTTGTACAGGTATAATATTGTAAAGATTCTCTTTATCATTTTCCTGATGAACTGTGCTGATAGCTAGTAGGAGTTAGAGATCTAATTCTCGAAGCTTTGTTTATTTGTCATTTGACATATTGGAAGGGCCCTCTATTAACTTTTAGAATAGGTAGCTGATGCAATTGAATGTGGAGATTTCTGTCAGGTCTTTCTTTCAAGCAGTATGTTGATTACTGGCTTTAGAAAACTTAAGGTCATTTTCCAAATCTGATGATATTGCACCAGTAGGTTATACGAATAACATCCTATTATATCAGTGGTTAAAGTTTGCAGTGAACATGAAATTGGAATCACATTTTAAATTCTCCTCCATTACTTCTCTAACGTGGACATGCACTTGAATGCATCGAAACTAAGACATAGTTTAGTTGTTTTGGCACATCATTAACCTTATTATATGGATTTAGATGTTCATTGGAGATGGAGCAAAACTTGTTCGTGATGCTTTTCAACTTGCAAAAGAAAAATCTCCTTGCATCATATTTATTGACGAGATTGATGCTATTGGTACAAAGCGTTTTGACAGGTGGGAATTTTCTCTTGAATGCAGTTTAGTTTATTTCAATTGGTTGGAAATCTTGTGAATTGATGTAGTACTTGATGATGTCAGAGCATGTGCCACGACAATATTGTTTCTTACAAATCAATATTTTATTTTTATACAGTGAAGTTAGTGGGGACAGAGAGGTGCAGCGGACTATGCTAGAGCTGCTCAATCAGTTGGATGGTTTTAGCAGTGATGATCAGATAAAGGTTCATTCTCTCCTTCTATTTTCCTTCTCATGTTTTATTATTGATATATGATACTGTCATCTGCATCCTCTGAATTCTTTGGAACTATTTGCTCTACATGAGTTGGGTGCATTCTATGCTATATTCTTAACAATCAGTGGTTGTGATGCACTTTCCACGTTCAAATTTGCTGTTAATGGTCAAGCACAAATCGATGAAAATAAATTAAAAGCCTGCTATTCAATTTTTACAATTTCTATGATGTGCTTGGTGATTATCTAAATCTGCCTTTTCTCACTTTTAGGTGATAGCGGCAACAAATCGAGCGGATATCCTAGACCCTGCCTTAATGAGGTCTGGTCGATTAGATCGTAAAATTGAGTTCCCCCATCCTACTGAGGAAGCTCGGGCTAGGATCTTGCAGGTAGCTTTTCTCAATTATTTTAATTTAATTTCCTTAAGAGGTTTGGATGGGACCAATGGAGCTGTGATCATATATCATTACTTCTATATCATAAACCTGTACCACAACTATTCATTATTGTTACAAGGGTACCCTTTATTACTAGCATTATTGACTTCATCCTCCTTTCGTTGCGTCTTTTAACAGATCCATTCCAGAAAGATGAATGTTCATCCAGATGTCAATTTTGAGGAGCTTGCCCGTTCAACAGATGACTTCAATGGGGCACAACTGAAAGCTGTTTGTGTGGAAGCAGGCATGCTAGCACTCCGACGGGATGCCACTGAGGTCTCTCTCTCTCTC